CCCAATATTGAACTTGAAATTAATACCAAAACTAGAATCGCATTCAACTCAGTCAATTACGCTAAGTCCATTGAACTGAAAAAGATGGGTCAGATGATTTGTGTATTGGTGATAAGACCTGCTCTTGAGGGCATTTATAAATTTTTGGAATTGAAATCAAATCCGAATACAATTCAGTATTTCGATTATCTTTCAAACCGAGTGTCTATCAGTCTGCATTTCTGCATTTCGTTGACAAAATGTTTTTGCAAATTTTGGCACTCCTGGCGGCATCTGGATTTTTTATAATTTATTTACTCTATAAAGTGAATTTTTCCTATTGGCGAAAATATAAAAACGTAGCCTCTGTGCGCGGTCGGATATTTTGTGCAAATCCCAAGGACATTTTTCTATTCAAAACAAATTATGGATTTGCTTTGAAGGAGATATACGACGATCCAAAATTTCACAACGAATCGGTGGTGGGTGTTTATGGCCTCTATAAACCTAGTTTGTTGATACGTGATCCAGAACTCATCAAGGCCATACTTATTAAAGATTTTGATAAGTTTTGTAATCGTTATTCGAAGCCAGATCCCCATACCGAACCAATTGCTGCGAATAATATTTTCTTTGGTGACTATAAATTGTGGAAAGAAATGCGTTCGAAATTCTCGCCCATGTTTTCGGGAGGAAAACTTCGGGCCATGTATCCTCTTGTGATGGGTGTGGCTGAAAATATTGGCGATCACCTAATGAAGCAGGGTCATGTGTTCTCTATGGAAGTGAAGGGTTTATGTGCTCGTTACACCACCGATGTAATTGCCACCACCATTTTTGGTTTCTCTTCAAATTCCATAGAAAATCCTCAGGAGGAAATTTATATTCAAACCCGAAAAATCGCTACATTTGATTTGGGGAGAGCTGTGCGTATCGCTATTATATTTTTTGCCCCGAAAATGGTACGCTTGTTTGGTGTGAAGTTTTTTGAAAAGAACTGTATTGACTTCTTCAGAAACTCTTTGAGATATATTATCAAGGAGAGGGAAGAAAGTGGCCGCACTCGTAATGATTTCATCGATATTGTTATAAAACTAAAAGAGGAAATGAATGAAGATCCACGATCTTTTATGGAACTTATGCATTCCCAGGCCATCGTTTTTCTGGCAGCTGGCTATGAAACCTCCGCCACCACAATATCATTTGCTCTCTTCGAATTGGCCAGGCATCCGGAAATACAAGACAAACTACGCAAGGAAATTTTGCAAGCATTCAAGGGATCCAAAGGGAAGCTTTCTTATGAGGATTTTAATGCCATGGAATATTTGGATATGGTCGCCAATGAAACCCTGCGAATGTATCCGGTGATACCAATACTAGAACGGAAATATGGTAAAGCGGAGGGTAATTCTGCGCCCTATTCTCTGATGCCGTACTGCGATTATGCCATACCTGAGGGAATGCCGATTTATATATCCGTCTTTGGGCTACATTATGATGCCAAGGTAAAGCATGTTTATCCCAGTTGTGATTCTTAAAAAAAATTATTTTTTCTCTTCTTTCAGTATTGGCCCAACCCGAAGCAATTTCAACCGGATCGATTTTCGCCGGAAAATAAAGGTTTTATAAATCCCATGGCGTATTTACCATTTGGTAATGGCCCCCACAATTGTGTGGGCAGTCGTTTGGGTCAAATGCAAACCAAGTGTGGACTTATTCAGATCCTTAAGAACCATCGTGTTCGGGCATGTGATCGTACCACACAGCAACTTGATTTTGATCCCAAGGCCTTTGTTTTGCAGCTGAAGGGAGGCATGCACCTGGAATTTGTCAGAGATGATATGTGTGATAATATTTAAAAAAAATATGAAACAAAATTTGGAAATCTGAACATAAAATCTAAATAAATTCTTTTTAAAAAATTCCACGCCTTATAAAAAACCTTGAAAAAATATTCTTTAAAAAATCTAGGCATCTTGTAGGCCCTAAAAATATTTTTAAAAAATGCAAGCTTCTACTAGGCCTCAAAATATATTATTTAAATATAGCATAGAATACCTCTTCTATAGCATAGAAGACCTCTTCTATAGCATAGAAGACCTCTTCTATAGCATAGAAGACCTCTTCTATAGCATAGAAGACCTCTTCTATAGCATAGAAGACCTCTTCTATAGCATAGAAGACCTCTTCTATAGCATAGAAGACCTCTTCTATAGCATAGAAGACCTCTTCTATAGCATAGAAGACCTCTTCTATAGCATAGAAGACCTCTTCTATAGCATAGAAGACCTCTTCTATAGCATAGAAGACCTCTTCTATAGCATAGAAGACCTCTTCTATAGCATAGAAGACCTCTTCTATAGAAGACCTCTTCTATAGCATAGAAGACCTCTTCTATAGCATAGAAGACCTCTTCTATAGCATAGAAGACCTCTTCTATAGCATAGAAGACCTCTTCTATAGCATAGAAGACCTCTTCTATAGAAGACCTCTTCTATAGCATAGAAGACCTCTTCTATAGCATAGAAGACCTCTTCTATAGCATAGAAGACCTCTTCTATAGCATAGAAGACCTCTTCTATAGCATAGAAGACCTCTTCTATAGCATAGCAGACCTCTTCTATAGCATAGAAGACCTCTTCTATAGCATAGAAGACCTCTTCTATTGCATAGAAAACCTCTTCTGTAGCATGGAATACCTCTTCTATAGCATAGAAGACCTCTTTATTTATGTTGGTCCTTAATAACATGTTATTTAAAAATCCACCCCTCTTGCAGATCTTGAAATATATTCTTAAAAAAAAAACACACGCGCACACCTTAAAATAATTTATCTGTTTATATTTTCTATTTCATTTATCCTTGACAATTTCCAAATAAATTCCACCTTTGACTTGTAGCACAAGTGCCTTGGCTTCAAATTTCGGTTCCACTTTGGTCCTGCCACACACACGAACATAATGATCTCTCAAGATATACGCCAGGCCAGCTTTCACTTGTATCATACCCAAACGGGCACCAATACAATTGTGGGGACCATTACCAAAAGGCAAATGGACCATGGGATGTATATCCGTCCTACGTTCCACCGAAAATCGTTCTGGATCAAAGCGCTTGGGATTTGGCCAATACTAAAAAGGGATAAAATATTTAAAACTGATCGCCATAGAAAAAAATGATACCTCACCTTTGGATCATAGTGCAGGGCATAGGGTGATATAAATACGGGCATACCCTCGGATAGTGTAAAATCACAATAGGGTTTCAAAGAATACGGTAGCTTTCCTGGCGGTGTGGCATATTGCCTTTCCAGAACAGGTAACACCGGATATAACCTCAACGTTTCATAGATAACCATATCCATATAGGGCAGTTTGTTGTTGATACCTTCATACGAAATTTGCCCTTGACCTTCACGGAAGGCTTCCTTGATTTCCTCTCTCAATTTCCTTTGTAACTCCGGCTGTTTTGCCAACTCCAAAAGGGCATTTGACATGGTTGTCGATGAGGTTTCAAATCCACCAATCATAAAAATCCCCGCCTGGGCCATTAGGCACTCCATGAACCTCTCCATTTTCCACTCCCCCTTGAGCTCGGCTTCTTGCTTCAATTTTACAAAAATATCAATGAGATCATTACGTTGTTCCGCTCCGCTACGCGATTCTCTATCTCGAATAGCCTGGGTTATGGTGGCCCTTAAGAAGTGCTCCGTTTCTGCGTAGAGAATTTTAGAACCCATAATTCGTGTCAATCTTGAGGCAAACATTATAATAATAAAATCAAATGCCCTACGCCAGGTGAAATAGGCCAAACCCTTCACTTCTTTATGAAAATCTTCCAAGGGATTCTCCAACGAATTCGATTTGAAACCAAAAATAGTTGTGGCAATAACATCGGTGGTAAAGCGGGCACACAAATTTTTCATCTCGGCTTGGAATACATCCGGCTGGGAATCTAAAAATTTCCGCATATTTTCCCCCACTTGTTGGATCAGGGGATACATGTTTCGCAATTTCCCCGCGGTAAAGGTGGGACTTAATTTGCTACGCATTTCCTTCCACAGCGGATAGTCGGCAAAGAACATCATTTGTCCGCCCAGCGAATCGTGGTGATCATCGATTTTGGCAAAACGGTTACGGAAACAATCAAAATCCTTGATGAGCACCGATTTCACCAGATTCAAATTTCGTATCAGCAGACCGGGTTTATATAAACCATAAACCCCCACAACTGGTGCCGTGGCAAATTGTTCCTCATCATAGATCGTTTTCAGATGATAGGCAAAATTAGTTTTGAACGTTATAAAATCCACAAAATTTCCACTAAATATTCGACCTGGTACACTTGGTACATTTTTATAGCGTGCCCAGAAATTGAAATTTCGATAATAGCAAATACTTAATACGCAGAATATTATTGTTGACACGGTCAACAATGCGGTGAGCAGCATTCCGAACTTCCGAACAGCAAATGCAATGCGACAAATTGATAACGAATGACTGTGAGTTATTATCGGATTAAATAGTCAATTTGGCTGGAAATATTTTCGATGTGTCATATGAGGGTCGTTTAAACAGGTGGTAATTACGTGATAATACACTAATGGGTCATGGGGGTCAGAAACGTGGATTAAAACTATATAAAAAATAAATTTCCAAATATTATCAACAAGCATGGATTTAAAAAAAATCTTCAAGGAGTATCAATTTTTATACCCTTCACCACATTGCGGTACAGGGTCTTTGAGTATATGTTTGTAACAGGCAAAAGGAAACGAGATAGACCCATAGTTTCTTTTGAGAATATGCATAGAATCACTTTCTGAGTCGATTTATGCATGCCCGTCCGTCCGTCTGTTGGTGTTAAATTGTAAACAATGTACAGGTCGCATTTATAATCCGATTTAGATGAAATTTGGCACAGGTGAATTGTTTGGCCCAAGGACGAACCCTATTGATATTGGGAAAATCGGTTCAGATTTAGACATAGCTCCCATATATATTTTCGTCCGATTTAAGGTAAATGGTGCACCAAAGTCCAAATATATATCATTCGATTTGCACGAAATTTGATATAGCGTAATGAATTAGGTCTAGAATGATGTGTGTTAAGTTTCGCGAAAATCGGTTCAGATTTATATATAGCTCCCATATATATTTTCGTTCTATTTAAGGTAAATGGTGTTCCAAAGTCACTAAATATGTTTCGATTTGCACGAAGTTTGGCATAGCGTACTGAGTAAAGTCTAGAATGATGTGTGTTAAGTTTCGTGAAAATCGGTTCAGATTTAGATATAAATCCCATATATATATTTTCGTCCGATTTAATGTAAATGGTGCACCAAAGTCCCTATATATGTTTCGATTTGCACGAAATTTGGCATAGCGTACTGAGTAAAATCTAGAATGATGTGTTTTAAGTTTCGTGAAAATTGGTTCAGATTTAGATATAGCTCCCATATATATTTTCGTCCGATTTAATGTAAATGGTGCACCAAAGTCCCTATTTATGTTTCCATTTGCACGAAATTTGGCGTAGTGTAGTGAATTGAGCCTGTAGTGATGTGTGCCAAGTTTCCTAAAAATCGGTTCAGATTTAAATATAGCTCCCATATATAGTTTCGTCCGATTTTAGGTAAATGGTACACCAAAGTCCCTATATATCATTCGATTTGCACGAAATTTGATATAGCGTAATTAATTAGGTCTAGAATGATGTGTGTTAAGTTTCGCGAAAATCGGTTCAGATTTAGATATAACTCCCATATATAGTTTCGTCCGATTTTAGGTAAATGGTACACCAAAGTCGCTATATATGTTTCGATTTGCACGAAATATGGCATACGTGCTGAATTGAGCCTATTTTCGTGCAAAACGGTCCAGATTTAGATATAGCTCCCATATATAGTATTTTCCGATTTTTTGTAAATGGTGCACCAAAGTCCCTTCACATCTTTCGATTTGCACGAAATTTGGCATAGAGTTCTGAATTAGTTCCAGAATGATATGTGCTAAGTTTTGAGAAAATCTGTTCAGATTTAGATATAGGCCCCACATATATAGTTTTGTCCGATTTTTTGTAAATGATGCACCAAAGTCCCTATATATCTTTTGATATTCGCGAAATTTTGCATGGTTTACTCAATTGAGTCTAAAATGATGTTTGCTAAATTTCGAGATAATCGGGTCAGATTTACATATATCACCCATATATATTTTCGCCCGATTTAAGGTAAATGGGGCTCCAAAGTCCCTATACATCTTTCGATTTGCACGAAATGTGGCATAGGGTTCTGAATTAGTTCCAGAATGATGTGTGCTAAGTTTCGTGAAAATCGGTTCAGATTTATTCAGAGTTTCGTACCTTTGAGATGGAAATCTGTCCCTACCATAGTTCGTGTGTTAAGTTCCTAGAAAATCGGGTTAGATTTAGATTAAAGTTCGTTCAATTTCATGTCTATGTTCCTTCGAGAAGTCGACGTCTGTTAGGATACATATATAGAATATACTATAAGTGGTGAAGCATATCATATAGTCGGCCCAGTCCGACTTTACTACTTTCCTTACTGGTTTAAACATATTTTTTCAAGGATTTTTAAAAATATGTTTTCAAAAGTCCACAATAGACGGGACTTTTTTTTAAATATTTTATTTTTCAAAAGTCCCCAATAGACCTAGATTTTTTTAAAAAATATTTTTTTAGAAGTCCACAATAGGCGTTTTTTAATACTTTTTTCCAAAGTCCACAATAGGCGTGATTTTTGCACACTGGGGTAACGTCGCCAACAACAATATATTTGAATTAAAAATCTATTAAAAAATAACTGATTCAAGCGAAACTGACAGTCTCAACAAATTATAGAGTGGGTTAGACGATGCATGAATTTCAATGAACCACAAAAGGTATCAATATGAAGTTGAGCTACACCGAATAATCTAGACACTCCATTTAACAGAAAAAAAACAAATTTTATTTTCAGTGAAAATAATGGATCCTATAGTTCTGCAATGGTGACGATGTCAGACCCTCAATAATACTGGTCATGTTTATGTGGAAGTGCTGGCGTACTGCGTTCAGGTTTTGGAAGTTCATATATATGTTTTAGACTACAGGAGACGAATCGGGCTGCATATTTCAATGTGTTCCTCTTGTGATATTCGTGGTAATATAATGTTGGACCATTTAGTTCGAAAATCATTTGTCGCGGAATCGATTAATATTGACAGGTACGTTTAAAATATTAGGTCTAATATACGACTCTTAAGACTCTATTATATTGTCATACTAAAAAGTTACAAAGGTTTTGATGAAGCCAATTTTCATACAGTTTGTATCCATATATAGGGAATACCACGAAAAGGTCAATGTGACGCAGAATTATCTTTCGACGATGGGGAAAAAAACATTTCATAATTTTATTTTAATTATCCCATCTTGCGAACAATAAAATAAATTAATGACAAATGAAATGTATTATTGTATGTAATTTATTATCGACGGCGTCACAATAAGAATAATTTATTATAAAAACCAGTAAGGAAAGTAGTAAAGTCGGACGGGGCCGACTTTATGATACCCTTCACCACTTTGAGTATATTCAACAGATGAATCCTAACAGACGTCGCATTTTTAACGGATCAGTAAAATGAATTTGGAACCATAAACACGTCATTCTGCAACCGATACTAAACTGTTCATTTGGTCAGATATAGAAGCTATATCTAAATCAGAACCGATTTCAGGAAACTTAGCACACATCTAGACCCAATTCATTACGCTGAGCCAAATTTAGTGCAAATCGAGAGATATATAGGGACTTTTGTGCACACTTTACCTTAAATCGGACGAAAATATATATAAGATATATAACTAAATCTGAACCGATTTTCAGGAAACTTAACACACATCATTCTAGAGATAATTCATTACGCTGTGCCAAATTTCGTGCAAATCGAAAGATATATAGGGACTTTGGTGCACAATTTACATTTAATCGGACGAAAATATATATGGGAGCTATATATAAATCTGAACCAATTTTCAGAAAACTTAACACACATCATTCTAGGCCAAATTTGTTACGCTGTGCCAAATTTCGTGCTTAAATCGCATATGCATATTCTCAAAAGTGTGTATGTCGTTTCCTTTTGCCTGTTACAAACATATGCATAAGACATAATACCCTGTACCACAGTGTGGTGAAGGGTATAAAAAAAATTTGGTTCAAGAACCTCAAAATACGAAAATTGAGGGGTACCCTTATATATGGGATACCAGAAAAAATTGACCAATATTTATAATTTATAGTGGAGAGATTTGCTACCTAATAAGAACTCGACTAACTAAATTACAGTCAATTCGGTCGAAAAATACGATCAGAACCCCCAAAATACCAAAAATTTGGGGGTACCGTTATATGGGGACTACCATAAAAACTGGACCTATTTTTATAATGTTTAGTGGAGTAATTTGGTACCCAATAAGAACCCAATGTACAAAATTTCAGAGAATTCCGTTATAAAACGTGCCCAAGAACCCGAAAATACCGAAAATTGGGGGTACCCTTATATGGGGGCTCTCCGAAAAAATGGACCTTTATTTATAATTTTTGATAGGGAGATTTGCTACCCAATAAGAACTCAAAGTACCAAATTTCAGCGAATTCAATTAAAAAACGCGCTCAAGAACCTCAAAATACCGAAATTTTGGGGGTACCCTTTTATTGGAGCTATCCGAAAAAATTGACCTATATTTATAATTTTTGGTAGGGAGATTTGCTTCCCAATAAGAACCCAAAGTACCAAATTTCAGCGAATTCAATTAAAAAACGCGCTCAAGAACCTCAAAATACCGAAAATTTGGGGGTACCCTTTTATGGGAGCTATGCCTATACGTCGACCGATTTTCTCCAATTTCAATAGGGTTCGTCCTTGGGCCAATTAAGTAATCTGTGCCAAATTTCATCCAAATCGGATCATAAATGCGACCTGTACTTTGTTCACAAAAATACATGGACGGACAGACGGACAGACGGACGGACGGACGGACGGACAGACGGACATGCGTAAATCGACTCAGAATGTGATTCTATGCATATTCTCAAAAGGAACCATGGGTCTATCTCGATTATTTTTGCCTGTTACAAACATATGCACAAAGTCATAATACCCTGTACCACAGTGTGGTGAAGGGTATAAAAACAAACAAATATATTTATAGACAAAAATTACACATTGGAATATAAAACAGTTGTGAGAACGGAGACATATTCAAAAACAAATATTTAGCTTGTTCGATACACAAAACAGTGGACCGATATGATTTTTATATTTCGCAAACGAATTTATTTTTCGCCATCCTTTACAATTTCCAAATACATTCCACCTTTAACCTGCAATACAAATGATCTGGCTTCGAATTCCGGTTCCACAACCGTCTGGTCACATATCCGAACATAATGATTCTTCAGCAGATGTACCAATCCACATTTCAATTGCAGCATTGCCAATCGAGCGCCAATGCAATTATGAGGTCCAGCACCAAAGGGTAAATAGGTCATGGAATTCAGCAGTGTTACTTTATTTTCAGGTACAAAACGTTCCGGATTGAATTTGTGAGGTTCAGGCCAGTACTAAACAATAGGGATAAGTGAAATTATTTTAATTAAAAATCCTAACAGACGTCGCATTATTAACGGACCAGTAAAATTCGAATTAAATTGGATCCATAAACATTTCATTCTGCAACCGATACTAAATTTTTCATATGATCAGATATAGAAGCTATATCTAAATCTGAACAGATTTCAGGAAACTTAACACACATCAGTCTGGACCTAATTCATTACGTTGTGTCATATTTCGTGCAAACCGAAAGATATTAAGGGAGTTTGGTACACCATTTAACTTAAATCGGACGAAAATATATATGGGAGCTATATCTAAATCTGAACCGATTTTCACGAAACTTAACACACATCATTCTAGACCTAATTCATTACCCTGTGCCAAATTTCGTGCAAATCAAAAGATATATAGGGACTTTGGTGGACCATTTGCATTAAATCGGACGAAAATATATATGGGAGCTATATCCAAATCTGAACCGATTTTCACGAAACTTAACACACATCATTCTAGACCTAATTCATTACGCTGTGCCAAATTTCGTGCAAATCAAAAGATATATAGGGACTTTGGTGCACCATTTACATTAAATCGGACGAAAATATATATGAGAGCTATATCAAAATCTGAACCGATTTTCAGGAAACTTAACACACATCATTCTAGGCCTAATTCGTTACGCTGTGCCAAATATGCAAATAGAAAGATATATAGGGACCTTGGTGCACCACTTACATTAAATCGGACGAAAATATATATGGGAGCTATATCTAAATCTGAACCGATTTTTCCCAATTTCAATAGGGTTTGTACTTGGGCCAAATAAGTGACCTATGGCAAATTTCATCCAAATGGGATCATAAATGCGACCTGTACTTTGTTCACAAAAATACATAGACAGACGGACATGTGTAAATCGACTCAGAAAGTGATTCTATGCATATTCTCAAAAATGTTAAAATCCACGCCTTTTAGAGAACCTGAAAAAAATATTTTTTTCAAAAATCTACGCTCCTTAATAAACCTAAAATTATTTTCTTAAAAAACCTCGCTCTTTAAAGAAACTACATTTTTTTTTAAATCGATGCCTCATTTGGACCTCGAAAAAAATTAACTCACCTTAGGATCATAGTGCAGACCATAGGTACATATAAACATTGTCATTCCATCGGGTAGAACAAAATCCGAATAGGGTTTCAGTGAGTACCCCTCCCTCGCCCCCATTCCTTTATTATATCTTCTCTGAAGTATTGGTAATACCGGATACAACCTTAAGGTCTCACACACAACCATATCAAGATATTGTAATTTACTGAGATTTTCATAGGACACACTTGTACCCTTCTCCGCCTCAAATGCCTCCTTAATCTCCTTTTTCAGACGCCTTTGAATTTCCGGTTGCTTGGCCAATTCCAAAAGGGCATTTGACATGGAGGTGGCTGTGGTATCAAAACCAGCCGATATCGATATGCCCACCTGGGCCAATAGACAATCCATAAATTGTGACATATCTCGACCACTTTCCTTGGCGTCATCCGTCAACTTTACAAGGATATCAATTAAATCGTTGCGTGTCTCTTCACTCAATTTCCTCTCCTCAACAGCCTGGACAATTGAGGTCCGTAGAAAATGTTCCGTTTCTTCGTGTAAAAGCTTTGAGCGGAAAAATCTTGCCAGACTTGGTACAAAAAAGGCGATGATAAAATTAAAGGCTCTTCTTCCCGAGAACTCTGTTAATTTTCGAATTATATTTCGCAACTCCTCTGAAGGATTTTCCATGGAATTCGATTGGAATCCCAGCAGCACCGTGGCGATTATATCAATTGTGTAGCTGGCACAAAATTCCTTCATGTCACAACGCATCACCGTCGATTGCTTCTCCAGATACCGTTCCATATTTTGGGCCACATGTTGTATTAGACCATACATCGTCTTCAATTTGGCACTGGTAAATAGTGGACTTAATTTTGTCCGCATCTCCCTCCATGTCGCATATGAGGTCATAAACATTGCTTGACCACCAATTGGATCGTAGTCCACATCTTGTTCGGCAAAACGATCATGGAAACTATCGAAATGCTTCACCAAAATTGATTTAATTATTTGCGGATCCTTTACCATCAGAGCAGGTTCGTGCAGACCGTAAATACCCACCAAGGGTTCATTGCCAAATTTTGGATCATCATAGATTGTCTTTAGGTAATAACCAAAATTGGTCTTAAAACGTAATGTATCGACCAGGCAGCCACTAAAAATTCGTCCTTCTACGCTGGGTATTGTTTTGTGACGATTCCAATATGAAAATTGCCGCCGATACCACATGTAGATGGGTAGCAAAATTGTTGCGAGAATTAATATAAGTTGTAACATTTTTTTTACCAAATTATTTGTTCCGATCCGATTTGCGAATGTTGGCGTTCTCAGATGCAATTAATTAACTGTGCGGAGAATTTAAAATTTTGATTATAATAAATTTCCTAAATTAAAAGTCATTCTATAAGAGAAGGTATTTTCTTTGTTGTTTATATTAATTGCTTACCAAATGATCCCAACAGACCTCAATGGTTCATTAGCAAAATTCTTATCGGTATTTCAAATTGAAGCCTAATGCTTACGTACAGTGTGGTACAAAATTAAGCAACAATGGCAATCCACGCCTTGTGTGGGACCTTGAAAAAATATTCTTTAACAATCCACGCCTTGTGTGGGACCTTGAAAAAATATTCTTTAACAATCCACGCCTTGTGTGGGACCTTGAAAAAATATTCTTTAACAATCCACGCCTTGTGTGGGACCTTGAAAAAATATTCTTTAACAATCCACGCCTTGTGTGGGACCTTGAAAAAATATTCTTTAACAATCCACGCCTTGTGTGGGACCTTGAAAAAATATTCTTTATAAATCCACGCCTTGTGTGGGACCTTGAAAAAATATTCTTTATAAATCCACGCCTTGTGTGGGACCTTGAAAAAGTATTCTTTAACAATCCACGCCTTGTGTGGGACCTTGGAAAATTATTCTTTAAAAATCAACGCCTTGTGTGGGACCTTAAGAAATTATTCCTTAAAAAATCCACGCCTTTTGTGAGACCTTAAGAAATTATTCCTTTAAAAATCCACGCCTCTTATGACAACGTCTTTTATGGGACCATGAAATGGATATCCCTATATTATATTACCGAATATAGTTTGTTCTCATGTACTGCCATCCTTAGAGGATTATTATTGCAACTTAAAAGTATGTTTGTTAACTATTCGACTTCCCAAGGCGGAACATCCATACATGTCATCTACAATATTGACTCGTACTAAATGCATATACAAATAGTTTTGTATGTGTTATCGGTTTATTCCATGTAAGAAATTTCGAAGGTAAATTGCACTCAAGAAAAAAAAAAACTATCCAAGAGGGAATTTTAAGGATATTTTGTCCATATGCAAGGCTATGGACTAAATATCATAAAAAATCTAGGACTTACATAGAGCTTGGAAAATATTTCTAACAAATCGACACCTCGTAAACAGGTTGGAACATAATATGTGATCCCCTCATACATTTTGTGAGTGTATACTCAATCCTCCTCAGTCCCTTCTCAGCTAAGTTGCATTGCAATGCACAAATCCAATTTTCTTGATAAATACTCAAACGACAATACTCAGATACCAATAACAGGGCAACTTGAAATCCAATTCAATTTTCAATAACAAATATTAACACGTTTACAAATAACAAATAAGGATTGAGAATGTGTGTGGTTATGTGCTAAGCTGCCTTATTATCTTAACAATAGTCAGCGAAAAGTGCACTTCTTCTTAACCACAAATATCAGCATAAAGGAATTTTTAAGGCAACACATTCACGCTTAAAATTAGATAAAATTGCAATGTGTTGCCTGCTGCCATAATACGAATTTTCCGATTTGCCTCGAGACAAACAAAAAAATCGTTTATATTGAAATTCATTCAATTGTTGAAATTTTTATTTCATTTTTTTCACCGTCTGCTCAAATTTTTTGCGAACTTTTCCAACACTATGTAAATCACACGATGAATGTAGATTTCACACTTTTTATGCTTCACCAATACCAACACCACCACAAAATAAAAAAAAAATAAAACATTTACATATTTTTTTTCGGAGGGTATCTTCTGTTATTGGCTTTGATGGTGGGGAGGCTTGAACATGTTTTATTATGCATCGCTGTATTACACCCTCTGCCGACGAATTAAATATTTTATTGTTGGATTTTATTTTCGGTGAATACAATGTCCATATATAAATATAAATATACATACACATATTTACATATTTTTTTTTTATTTTTAGCGTTATATTAAAAGTTATTGATAATTGAGAACTAATTGATGATTGATGGATTTTCGAAGAGAAATAAACAGAATATAAAAATAATAACCAAAAAATCTTTAAAAGTAACCACGCCTTGTGGAGGCCTTGGCCACACATGTTTGGGACCAAGAGAAAAAAATCCAGCCTCTGTTGGACCTCCAAAAATATTTTCCACACCACTCTATCCACCCCTTTTTTGAACCTTAAAAATTCCGCTTAATGAATCCTAGTTTTCCCTCTTCTTGGTTTCTATGGTGTTCTCATTTTTTTGTCTATTGTCCGACCACTTTTTATGAAGTACCCTCTTAACGTGCAGACTAACATCCAAAATACACAGAACTTTCTTCGTATACAATGTCGTTGTTTTTTACCTCCACCCTAAAAGGTCCGAATGTGAACCGTTATAATTGCACTGTTGCATGTCCAACTCAGGCATTATAAGCCTGAGGGTTTCTTTTCAGTTTTTCCTTTTTTCTACGGCTGTCTGTTTGGTTTTCATGGGGACAATGTCAACAAGCACTTCATTCTTATTTGGTGTCGTATACACACATACATACACATAATATGTACACCAGACATGTTGGTGTAAGAGAATGTTAAAGAGCTGGTGTAAAAAAATGCATTAAAATCGGTCGAAGTACTGTAATTTATAGGATAAAGGTGACAAATATGAAACCCATAACTTGAATGGCTCCAAAGGACATGGAATTAAAATATATATATATATATAGAATTAATTCCTTTTTAATTTACTGCAGTATCTCAGTTATGACCTGCATTAATATCAGTCAATCTATATATTTTGTCCCACTATCCAAAATCTTGTATACATAATTTTTGTAAATATTTTTTCGACCCATCTGATAATACAAATTTCTATATAACTTATATATTATAAGCCTGTCACATGTCAACACTTCATAATGCGAAGTGCTTTTAATGTCAGAGGTGTGAACAGCAAAAAAAACTGATTTTAGTCCTTTGAAATTTTTTTAAATGCATTTAATTTAAGGACAACTTAGATTTTTATTTTATAAAAATTTATAATTTATATACATATATTTATTATATATATTTTGAAAAATCCACGCCGTATGTAGGCCTTGAAAAATATTCTTTAATAAATCCACGCCTTCTTTGAAAAATCCACGCCTCTTACAGGCCTTGAAAAAATATTCTTTGAAAAATCCACGCCTCTTACAGGCCTTGAAAAAATATTCTTTGAAAAATCCACGCCTCTTACAGGCCTTGAAAAAATATTCTTTGAAAAATCCACGCCTCTTACAGGCCTTGAAAAAATATTCTTTGAAAAATCCACGCCTCTTACAGGCCTTGAAAAAATATTCTTTGAAAAATCCACGCCTCTTACAGGCCTTGAAAAAATATTCTTTGAAAAATCCACGCCTCTTACAGGCCTTGAAAAAATATTCTTTGAAAAATCCACGCCTCTTACAGGCCTTGAAAAAATATTCTTTGAAAAATCCACGCCTCTTACAGGCCTTGAAAAAATATTCTTTGAAAAATCCACGCCTCTTACAGGCCTTGAAAAAATATTCTTTAAAAAATCCACGCCTCTTACAGGCCTTGAAAAAAATATTCTTTAAAAAATCCACGCCTCTTTTAGGCCTTGCAAAAATATTCTTTGAAAAATCCACGCCTCTTTTAGTCCCTAAAAAAATATTCTTTGAAAAATCCACGCCTCTTACAGGCCTTGAAAAAATATTCTTTGAAAAATCCACGCCTCTTACAGGCCTTGAAAAAATATTCTTTGAAAAATCCACGCCTCTTACAGGCCTTGAAAAAATATTCTTTGAAAAATCCACGCCTCTTACAGGCCTTGAAAAAATATTCTTTGAAAAATCCACGCCTCTTACAGGCCTTGAAAAAATATTCTTTGAAAAATCCACGCCTCTTACAGGCCTTGAAAAAATATTCTTTGAAAAATCCACGCCTCTTACAGGCCTTGAAAAAATATTCTTTGAAAAATCCACGCCTCTTACAGGCCTTGAAAAAATATTCTTTAAAAAATCCACGCCTCTTACAGGCCTTGAAAAAATATTCTTTAAAAAATCCACGCCTCTTACAGGCCTTGAAAAAATATTCTTTAAAAAATCCACGCCTCTTACAGGCCTTGAAAAAATATTCTTTGAAAAATCCACGCCTCTTACAGGCCTTGAAAAAATATTCTTTGAAAAATCCACGCCTCTTACAGGCCTTGAAGAAATATTCTTTGAAAAGTCCACGCCTTATGTAGGCCTTGAAAAAATATTCTTTGAAAACTCCACGCCTCTTACAGGCCTTGAAAAAATAATCTTTGAAAAATCCACGCCTCTTACAGACCTTGAAAAAATATTCTTTGAAAAATCCACGCCTCTTACAGACCTTGAAAAAATATTCTTTGAAAAATCCACGCCTCTTACAGACCTTGAAAATATATTCTTTGAAAAATCCACGCCTCTTACAGACCTTGAAAAAATATTCTTTGAAAAATCCACGCCTCTTACAGGCCTTGAAAAAATATACTTTGAAAAATCCACGCCTTTTGATTGCCTTGAAAAAGTATTCCTTTAAAAAATACAAGCCACTGCTAGTCCTTCAAAATATATCCTTTAAAAATCGTCGCTTTGGAGAATTAGAGTAAATTTCATTGCTGGGCTTTATTTTCTAACAAGGCAACAAAATGCCACTAGAGCATCCAAGACAGAGCTGACATGACCAAGTACTGAACAGGACGAAACAAAAAAATATTACATACACACACACAATGAGATTAAACGCCAGAGGAAAACTATCCACAACCAAGCACCTGCATGTGGGAAAATGAAAGAAGGAATTTATTTTAATTAGATTTTCATAAATATTAATTTATATAAGAGAATGATAGGGTAGGATATGAAAAAGGATTACACACCTGTAGCTCGTTTTTAGAAGAAAACAATTCTTTACACGATAAACGGTTATAAAACAAAGATGGATTTTTAAAAACATTCAAATTAATCTGCTTCCGCTGAGAAAAAATCGCC